AAATTCACTTAATATAGCAAATTCTTTTATGTCTGGGGGAAAATACTACTCTGTGGCCCATAGGATTGCATTTTACTCTCCACTAGATAACTGTATACCAAACATCATTAGAGGTTATCTAATAACGAACTCATCATTTCATTCTCCCGTTGAGGCCTGTGGGCCAATTTTCACCCCATTAGACTCTCCAGAATAATGACACTAATTTGGGATCTTGCTGTGGAATTAAATGCTTACACAGATCCCACTCCCTTTGAGACCATAAACATCTCTCATAGCTAAAGAACCTCACTATAACCAGAGTGACTGAGAAACTGCCAGTGGACTAGGACTGCAGGCACTGGCAGAAACGTTCTGGTGAATACGGTGTTTCCAGTGGTACCCAGTAACCATTCCATTAGTGTTAGATGCTCCATAATTTTTTTCTAGTCTTGAGGATCAAGACTAGGAATTTTATGTCAGTTATGAAATCAGCATAGACCTTCTTAAGAACTATTTGAACTGTTCTTATGCTGATGCCTCATGTGTGTTGCACTCTTTCCGTGTATGAGGCGCGTGGCTAAGTCCTTTACAGCCATTATTTCACGTAATCCTCAGGCTGACGTTGTGAGGTGCTTATTAGTGATATTTTAATCTTCATTCTACAAATGAGAAACTAATGCTGAGTTGCAAAGCATCACCCATCTAAAGATGGCATGTCCCGGGTACAACCTAGGAGGTCCTACGTGCTGCAGCGTCTGCGGCTGTGGTCAGCTGTGATCTGACCTTGGGGTATGGAGCAGATTAAAAAAGTAAATGTACGAGGACTGGAGGAAGAGGCAGAATAGCTGTGCAGAGAGGGGGCGAGGTGAAGGGCGAGGTTCAGACAGGCAGACGGCGAGGAGGCCGTGCAGCTGCTGGACCACAGAGAAGTTGTTCCCAGCACCACGTCCTTTTGAAATGACCTTGTGGTCACGAAAAAATAAACTTGGACCCACTCTGATGCTATTAATTGGTGATTTATTCGTACCTGCACAGGGGCCATTGTTCTGAGACAAGCCACCCCAAAGTGCAGGGTTTTTTGTCTTTTATACCCTTTTTTCTCTGCTTAGCTTAAGCCAGCTTGGTGGGGGGGGGGACCAGGAACATTGCCATTGGCAGGGTTACAGCTTGGTTGTCAATGGATATGTTTCAAATCACAATGGTTATGATTACATAACAATAATTGATCTATGGATACATCTTAAATCACAATGGTTATGGTTATACAACAGTAATTAATCAAGCCTCGGTGAGTTTTCCACCATTGTTCATCTACTGAACAAGCCTCAGTTAGTTTTCCACCATTGTTTATCTACTGAGAACTTGGGGGTTTTGTGAAACTTGGGACTTTCTGTGCTTTGACTCTGGGGGAGCATGGGAACAGGCTGAGAGAGCCCGTAGGGTGGGGGAACAGGAGAGGGTGGGGGAAAGAGGGCTGGGTTACAACCTTTCTGGGAGAGAGGAGGCCCCAGGTGACTACACAAATGGGGATTATGCAGTTATGCTCAGAGAAGCATGCTAAACAGTTGGCCCCAGCTCTGATACTGCAGTCTTCACCCACATCCTCCAGCCCCTCCTGCTGGCTCAAGCCCTCCCGCCTGATCCTTCCCCGGGGCTGTTTCTCTTCTGAGCCTGCCTTTCTCTCAGAATGTGCATGTCCTCATCACGTTACACCAGCATCCTCCTCTCCTTGTCCCTCTCCCTGACCCCCTTTCTGGGCCTCTTCATCCAGACCCCGGTGTGCGGGTGGACAGTATTACCCCTAACCCTATTGCACCTTGCGGCAATAACACTTTCGTCCAATCTCCGGGCAGCTGCTTCTTCCATCCTTCTTCACTCTGGTCAAGCCCCGGCATTGACCCGTCACACTGTTAGCAGATGGCCTTGAGCTTCCACTTCTCTGTAAAACTCCAGCCCATTGTGAGTGCACTTTAGCGTCTGACCTCCATCCTTAGTAACTATTTTATTCCCTGCTCACCTCCCCATCCTTTGGTCTCTGAGCACTGTGACTGACTCTTTTGCCAACTAAAGCAAGTATTTTCGCCTGACCTCTGGATCACATGTCCCTCCTATTCCATGGTCTTTTAAATATTTGTTATATCTTCTAGCTCCTTACCCTAAGCATCTGTGTTAAAAAGTATTCCTCCTTTACTATCGTGTTTCTCTCCTAAAACAGTTTGCAATCAAGATTTCCACTCGCCCGGCGCTTACTCACTGCACTTCAACTGGACGCCTACATACCGCAGAGGTGGGGAACCAGGGGCCTTTGGTGTGGCCTTCCACATCCTTTTGATGGAATCAAAATTCTATAGAATGAATCATTCTACCAAAGGAAGTTTGGATTCAGTCAAGGGGTCAGACTTAGGGATCTGGAGGGTCAGGTGCTGCAGGTGGACCCTGGATGGGTTCTCTTCCTCTTACCCTCTGTGCAGCTTGGGGGCCAGTTGGCCATTTTCTCTTCTCTGGGTTCCCTCACATCACCTTTTCCTCTCTCTTCTCCTACTTCTTTGATTTCTCCTTGTTGGTTTCTTTTAGGTGTTTCTTTTTCTTGCCCCTCTTTTTAAATGTTGGTGTGTTCCAGAGTTTTGTCCTTGACCATTTTTTCCTTTATACTCTTGAGGGGTGAATTCATTCATCCTGTGGCCTCACCATAATGCTGAGGACCCCCCCCCATGGACATCTTGGAGCATTTTATGATGCTCACGTGTGTACCCCATCAGTCAGCCCAGACTCCTGTTGGCTGCTCGCCTTTACCTGTACTTCACAGGCCAGCAAGCCCCTTCCAGATGTTGAACACCAAGTAAAACACCGGCCATTCACCCTGGGCTCCTCCTGCTTCCTTAACTACATATATAAGTGAAGAGGAAAATGGAGTCCCCTTCATGCCATCACTAACAGGAAATGACTGTTGTTAGTTTTATTAATTTACCTTTATATATATTATATTATATATAATATAAAATATACAATGTATATTTATCTATTGATATAGATTACATCTTATATAGATTATATATTTTTATATTTGCCACTTAGTTATTATCCACCTCGACTTTTACCCTCTTCTGCCTGCTCTCCTGCAACCTCCTTCTCATTGCTCCTCTCTTCTGCCTTCATCCCCTCCTACCTTCTCTCACTACTGCTGAAGTTATCTTTCTAAGATACAAAGCTGCTAGTATTCCTCCCATGTTCTAAACTCTTTGGTGATTCCTTATTGCTGGTACCTACAAAGTCTAGACTCCTCAGAAAAAAAATATTCAGGTATCTGGACTAGTTTCTGCCTGCCTCTCTAGCTCACACAGTGGAATCCAAGGGGTGGAAATAACATGGCCTGACACTGAAGACTATTCAAGGAATTTTTATTCTGATTTGGAATTTAGTGAGGAAAATATGGCTTTCAATGAAGAAGTGTTATATTAAAAGTCAGTTCCAAATATTATATATTTAATTAGGCAATGCTCCACTCAGCAAGACACCCAGGGGACAAAAGAGTCCAATTTGCAAACTGAGAGGATACAAGAAGCAAGATGTGAAGTGGAAAGACAGGGGTGGGTTTTCAAAATGAAATTCTATTCTACATATTTTTAGTATAAAAAGACACTATTTTTCCTGTACTTTATGTAAAGAGAGATAGTGCTACTTCAAAAAATCCTATTTCTAAAATGCTCCCAGTCATCACTCTTAACTCTATGAAGGTAAATGTAACTTTCTGTTATTATACAATGTTTATTATCTGCTAAAGGTTTTGTGTAACAAATCCTTTACAACGTCAAGGTGTATAGTTGAATTTGATCCAACCTAGAAATATATGACAGTCACTTCCCAAAAATAGTTGTAGATGTTCTAATGAAATTGTCCTAATTTTGAAATCACAATCATATATTTTACAGTCACCACATAAATAGATGTAAAAACAAAGGCTATATGATCCTTTCAATCAATGGAGAAAAAGCACTTGACAAAATTCAGCACCCCTTAATGATAAGGACACTCAACAAAACAGGTATAGATAGGAGACGTCTCAAAATTATAAATGACAAAATTATATATGACAAACTTACAGCCAACATAATATTGAATGGGGAAAAGCTGAAAGCTTTCCTGCTTTTATTCAACATAGTTCTGGAAGTTATCTCCTGAGCAATCATGCAAGAGAAGGAAATCGAGGGGGTCCAAATGGGGAAAGAAGGAATCAAACTATCACTCTTTGCTGATGATATGGTCTTATGTCTAGAAAACCCCAAAGATTCAACCAAAGGGACTCTTGAAGTTGATAAATAAATTCAGCAAAGTCTCAGGTTACAAAATCAATGTACACAAATCAGTAACTTTCATATATGCCAACAGTCATAGAGTCAAATCAAAGACACAACACCTGTCACAGGGGCAACAAAGACAGTTCAGTTGATCTTCATGTGTCCTCTCTAATTCCCTTGGAGCATACAAAGTTAATTTTGGCTTCTCATTAATTGCTAAGTGTTAACAATTTTAATTTTTAAGGATTAAAAAGAAGTACCTTCATGCCAAACATTTTTGCATTTATGAAGAAAATGTAATGAAATACTAGCATTTATTGGATCCAAGTTGAGGAGGATACAATAGGATATTGAAATGCTACTTCAGGGAATATAAGTAGAATTTACTATACTATATGCATTTGTCATTGCTGAATTTTACAATGTGATATTTCAAAAAAATAAATGATAATGGTATTGTTATACTTTACCCAAGTGGAAATATTGTTACCTGTAGGTTCATAAAGATTCTAAGTCTTAGCTCATGGTTTTTCATGGCTGTTCTGACTTGCATACCTGGCCCCTGAGTCACCTATTAACATAAATCTCAAAAGGATGAAGTGAGTGCAATGCCCTAACGTGATCTCATTTTGTATAAAAATCATTAACTGAATACTAAGTAAAAATAGTTATTTCAGTGGTTTTCATGTTAGCATATTCTGAAATAATTACTTGTTTCCCTAGGACTTTTCAGCATGGTATGGATGAGTCTGCTTCAGATTCCTTAAAGGCCTGTTTTAAGCAACCATTACACTGGATTTCTTGCATATCACCTTTCTACCCTACTTTACTCAGGTGAGTGAATGTCTCCCAGTACCACCCAATCTATAATTCTATGACTCATTTTAAAGTTTCTATGAAACTCTGAATGCAAATGCATCAGACGAAAAGAATGTATAACTTATTCACAATAGGCAGATAATAGGCAGATAAGGAAAGAGTATTTCTCTTTTTTAAGCTCAAGAATTTAAGGCACAGTCCTCATAATAATTCTACTGGCTTATAACTTTTATGATGTAATGGAAAACTGAGAAGTTTTAAAATTTAGTTCTACTTTAAAAACTCTTTCTTCTTGATCTATGGGGATTTGACAGTTCTTTGGCTAATTATCAAACAGACAGCAAAACTGGATAATTCATTTAATGAACTCAGAGCCTGAGGTACAAGTGGAGAGAGAAGTCGCTGAAAATTATGAATAGGGTCTTTCACTTTTATTATTTAATTAACACTATTTAAAAATAAAAAAAAAACCATTTAAAGTATAAAATGTACTTTCAGAATAATCTCATGACATTTTGTGGCATTATATGGAATAGTATTTGATTCTTTGCTAAATATATCATTGAAAAATGCCTTTGCTTGATATCTGAAAATAAAAATATGTATGGCTAAAGGAGATACACTTAATCCCCAGACATTCCTGGTTCATCTTGGAAATACACTGTCAGCTTTTTCACCATTTCAGTTGACTCACTTTACACTCTCCTGAGGAACAAGAATGCCACCCATAAATAGAGGATATGAGAACCTTGTACACAGAGTCTTCACAGACACAACAACCGCATACTGCTCACCTACTGTGTGCCTTTTGGCATATGGACAATGAAGAATCCAAGATTAATGATTCTCAGACCCCTTCAAGGACCTCAATATATTATTACTTCACTTGGATATAAAACTTTGTCAATATCTCTGATCAATTCCTAGCAATGGAATCTTGTCAATACCTTGTCATCTTGAAAATAAATATTAATATACTTTATATCATTAGGTATTAAATAGTCAACTCTTTAATGCTCATCATTTAAAAAATAACAAATTAAACAACTGATCTCTTATAGCATAAGTTAAGCAAACAAGCTATATCATTCTCTTAGGTCAGGATAATGGCCTTCAGTTCCATCCAAGTTGCTACAGAAGACATGATTTCATTCCTCTTTACAGCTGATTAGTCCTCCGTGGTGTGTGTGTATGTGTACACTGCATTTTCTTTATCACTCATCAGTTGATAATAACTTAGGTTGATTTCATATCTTTGCAATTGTGAATTGTGCTGTGATAAACACTCCGGTCTAGGTGTCTCTTTGGTATAATGACTTCTTTTCCTTTGGGTAGATAACCAGTCATGAAATTGCTAGATGAGATGGTAGGTCTATTTTTAGTTCTTTGAAGAATCACTGTACTGTTTTCCATAGAGGTTGTACTAGTTTACATTCCCACCAACAGTGTATAAATCTTCACTTTCTCCACATCTGTGCTAAATTCTATTGTTTTTTTGACTTATTAATAATGGCCATTCTGACAAAGGTAAGGAGGTATCTCATTGTGGATTTTAGTTTACACTTCCCTTATGATTAGGAACATTGAGCACTTTTTCATGTTTATTCACCATTTATATATCTTCTCTTTTTTTGTCTTTTGCCCATTTGGGGGGAGGATATTTTTGTTTCTTGCTGACTTGTTTGAGTTCTTTGTAGATTCTGGATATTCGTCCATTATCAGACATTTTGACCTATTTTTATTGCCTACTTTTATCTTACACCTGCAATCATTGGAATTATTCCCTTTTGGGCACAGCTGTGTAATACTTCCACCTCCAAGCCTTCTCAGTTCAACTCAGCTAGCAGCATAGGAAGGCAGCATGAAAACGGCTTTGTCTTTCAAACAGCTAATTCTTGTATTTAACTTTTTTCTTCTTTCTGTATCTAAAGCAAGTGAAAATGCAACAACACATTTCTTTCCTTCTGCTTCTATTTAGTACCCAGTCTCCACTATTATAATAACACAAATATTAGAACATGGAGATGACTACTTACCCATTGCAGAAATGCAATTTGATGCATACTTGGAGGACAGTTTAATATGTAACAGAAACTTAAAAATATTTTTTGCTCCTTTTCTAGAAATTCCATTCCTATGAATAAACTCTAAGGAATTAATTAGGGATTTCGACAAAGTTTTATATGTAAAAACATCCATCAAATCCTTAACTAAAAGAAAAAAATGGAAATAAATGATCTACAGTGTAGTTAGACAAATCAATTATGGGATAGCCATATGATGAATACTGTGGAGTCATTGAAGGAGTAGATTTTGAAAAATATTTAATGGCATAGGGAAATAATTGTGATTTTTATAGTTAAAAGGAAAATATAGGTCAGTAATTATGAAATAAACAAAGCCAGTCCTGTTCTTAGAGTGGTGGGCATGTGGCAGACACCTTGCCATGTGATACATTATCTCTTTCAAACCTCATCCCAGTTCTGCAAGGTGAGCACTCAAGTCTGTGCTTCTCTTATAAAAAGCAAAGTGCTGTGTAGGCAGCGACTTTCTGGGAGGATAAAGCTGGGAGGTCAGGATCTGAAACCAGGCCTGCTCTATTCCTAAGCCCAGGTTCTTGACAACTATACCTCCACCTTTTCAAAGGGAAAGCAGTTCAGATTGATGTTAATATGTGTGCATGAAAAACCATCACCCTGCATAAGTAAAATTGTCAGTTATTCATTATGTAAATTCTCTTTTTTATAGTTTAACTTTGCAGGGCCTCTGATATGGTAGCCTAGGGTATGACGTTCATCTCTGCTGTGGTCTGAGTGTGTCCCCCAGAGTTCATGTGTTGGAAACTTTATCCCCAATGCAACAGTGTTTTGAGGTGAGGTCCAATGGGGTTCATGTCACAATGAAAAGGGCTTGCAGGAATGGTTTGACCTTCTCTTCCACCATGTGAGGTCACAGCAAGAAGACCTTGACCAGATACTGGTGCCTTGATCGTGGATTTCCAGCCTCTGAAATTGTAAAAAATACATTTTTCTTCTTTGTAAATTACTTAGTCTGTGTTATTCTGTTAAAGCAGTGCAAAATAGACTAGGTCATCCTCTAAGGGAGAGACGTAGTCTGCAGAGTCCCCAAACTTGCTGGATAAGAGAACTCCAGTTTCCCAGAGGAGGAACAGTCACTGCAGGGTGGGACTTAACTGGGAAGTGCTGGACTGTGCTTTACTACCCTATGTAGAGCACAAGAATAGGGCTGGGCTACACCATGCTACTCTATGTAGGGAACAAGAATAGAACTGGGTTGCGCCATGCTACTCTATGTAGAGCACGAGAATAGCACATGCAGAAAAAGGAGTAATGAAAGGCTATACTGAAGGGTTTGTAATTTTATATCTGGGTGGTAGAATTATAGTAATTTTCATTTTTATATTCATCTATATTATCTAAAATCTCTATACGTTGAGATAAAAACAAACTTTTAAAAAGCAAAAAAAAAATCCATTTCCTTGATTTTTTTAATCAGGGAAAAAAATCTGTAACTGTAGACTTAATCTGTAACCTCTATACCAAAGATTTCTAGCTCTGCACCTCTGCTTACCTGGCCTGGTCCCCAAGACCCAGGCCGAGACCCAGTGGTGGACAGAGTGGCCTGCTGGGAACCAGGCATGCAGCAGGCGAGCACAGGAGATGTGCTCTGTTCCCGGCCGCTCCGCGCAGCTGGCATCACTGCCTGGCTCTGCGTCCTGGGAGACGCGCGTGGCCCTGGACTCCCACAGGAGCGCGGCGCTACTGCAGACCGCAGTGCAAGGGGTCCAGCAGCGCACTGGGTAGAGAATCTAATGCCTGATGATCTGAGGTGGAGAGCATCGCCCTGGAATCACCCCCCACCCCACTGCCCCGGGCCATAGAAGAATTGTCTTTCCGAAAACTGGTCCCTGGGGCCAAAAAGACTGGGGAATGCTGCTTACCTGTACGCCCAAATTGTATGTCCAACTGTTCATAACCTGTGCTGCCGGAACCCAGTGTGACGTCCTCTCTGTCCTCCCTTCTCCTCTTCCCTGGTCCCCACCCCCCCAAGTCTTTTATTTCAGGAGCAGCGTTCTTAAAAGCTCCTGGAAGAATCTTGATCACAATTTCCCTGTGGAGCTGCTGCTTCCTCTAGTCTTGCTCTATTATCACGCTCAGCTGATTCTCCCTCCGAAGTTCTCTTGGAAACCCTCCCTCTCTCCCCCGCATGGTAACCACCCTAGTCAGTCTTGCTACTGTTTGGCTCTTGTGAAGTCCTCTCCTGCTCAGGAGCCTCCGGCGCTCCTTCCCCCACACTGTCTCTCTTGGCTGGTTTCCTGCAGGACCCAGCAGTTTTTTCTGCTCCACTTAAGCCAGTTCTCTCAAGCATCTTTAAGACTCTTTTATTCCATACTTTTGAATTTTTTAATTAGTTCCTTCTTCTTGGCGTCAGGCCTTTATTTGTGTAGTTTTCTCAGAATATCTTTGTCTTTCTCAGTTCTCCAGCGAGGTGTGCTATGAGCACTCCTCCCACTGCTACCACTAAGTGTCATGTTTTTTGACAATTATTCTTTACTAGGCCCATATAATCTGCTTAGAAAGACCTGACCCATATGATTTATAATCCAGAGTGCTGAGAGAAAGAAGAACCCAGGGCAGCAATGGAAGTAATTTCAGAACGACTTGAGTTATTGATTTGTAGTTGTCAGACATTGCAATGAGTATTCCCAGACCACCATCATATCACCTTTTAAATGTTTCCTTTCTACCCATTTCTCTCCCTTATATCTGCTGTCTCTGTGAGTCTTTCACCCCCAAATTATCCTTCAAAACTACATTTTTTACCTTAGCTACTAAAAAAGTGAAATACAGGGGCTGGATGATGACAAATTAAAAATAGAGTAGGATAAGAAGTTAATTGATGACTCCATACTGAACTTCAGAGTCCAAGTATTCTATAATAGACATACTCTTATTTGACAATGTGAATGTTACTTTCTTTGCATTACTATTATT